TTCCATCGCAGATTTCTCAGCCTTCCGACACACACGCACTGGCTAATGATAGAGACCTGCATGGAACACTGCAGTGAGCTTCAGCCCTCGGGACTGAATCCTTCAGTTTCGGGTGTGCAGACCCCCTCTGCACGCTTCCTCATCTGACTCTGCGGCTGACCGCCATAAGCCAATCTGGTAATTTCTTATACATTTGTGTATCTTGTGTTATATCTGTTCCTTGTATTATATCTGTTTTTCTAGTAAAGCCCGAATCCAGCTCCCACCCATAGAATCTGGAGACTTGCATATCCTGAGCAAGCCTTCTACTGCTGACGTACATCCCAGGCTGAGATGTATTTTTGTAATTAGGCACAGAAATGCTGCTGGGTTTACATGTTAACCTTGCATCTACTAGTAGCTCTGCTGTTCTCTGTGGAACTGGATGAACAATATTATCTATGAATAATGAACTGGCTTGTATTTCCAATTTTCTTACATTTTGTTTTACAAAGATGGCTAAACTCTTAAAATGGTAATTGAGGCTAGGGATTTAGCTTGGCAGTGTAAGCGCCCGCCTGGCAAGCTCACCGACCCAGGTCCAATCCCAGGTACCGCATGCATTGCCGGTCCCAGAATCCCAGGTGCGCAGTGCTGGCCCTGAAACTGGGTGTGGTGGCACATACGTGTAATCCCAGTGCTGGAGAGGTTGAGATAGGCGGATCACTATGAGTCTGGGCTGTGTAATGAGACCCCGTACCAAAGAAATAAAATTTTTTGAATGGTAATTGAAATAGAAGTAGTGAAAGAAGCCATAGTTTGTTCCTGATTTTATCTTTTGTACTACTGTTGATTGAATTGAGGGCCTTGAGCTACACCTGCAGTCCTTTTTATTTTTAAGATTTTAAGAGAGGGTCTGGTTAAATTGCTAAATGGCCCAGGTAGGCTGGAAATTGTGATCCTCTTGCCTTAGCTCTGCAGAATGCTGGGATTATAGGAATGCACCACACCACGCCTGGCTTGTTCCTGATTGTAAAAGGAGTGCTTCAAACGTTCCACGGTGGACTGTGAACTCCTTTAGATTTTCGTAGGTACTTGTTACTGGGCGATGATAGGTTTTTCAGGCAACATCGCAGCAGAGAAACAGGCAGAAGAGAAAAGGAAAAGGGGGCTTTGAGGACAAGGAAAGAATCTGGGGAAGGGGCTGGTGAGATGGCTCAGTGGTCTAAAGCACCTGCTTACAACAAGCTTAGCAAAGCACATGGACCATGGTTCAATCCCCCAGC